GCTCGGCGCGCGTGTGGGCTTCCCTTGGTTCCTTCATGGTGCATGTGTGTCCTTGTAATGTTTTGAACTCTACACAAGCTRACCCTTATATATACACTACCAAAATGTCACAAACTTTAGATGTGYGACATTTTAAGTGTGCATTCATCAAACCAACATAAGGGCTTTCCCATTTAGCCCAAAAGCCTTATCTCATTTCACCTTCATATTTTAAACCCATTTTTCATACCCAAATGTCTATAACAAGCCCATTTGATTTTAATAAAAATTGGTTCCAACATTTGGCTCACTCGGTTAAGTTTTGAGATATTACAAAACGAATGGTGCAAATAAGACAAGTACCGATTGATACTTGTCTCAAGGTCGGATAATTAACAACTTAGTAAAGGGATTAAAGAATTGTCACTTTGTTAACACCTTGTAAGTGAGAATGATGATACAAAATACTTCATTCTCTACCCAAAAAAAAAAAAAAAACTAGCAATAACTTGTGTAGTTTCTAAACATTTTTGTAAATAAGTATTCAGATAAATAAGACTGGTAACGATCATCATGCGTCATACTCTTCGCTATATCTCGAGGAAAGGAGTTAGAGTTGCGCGAGACCAATTCAAAAGATCAATTTAAAGGTTTAAACACTTAAAAATCTAGTAAAATTGACAACAAATAATTTTGTTATAATAAACTGAAAACAGAAATAGTCATGCTTGATTTGCTCTCAGCTTAGTCGTCTAGCGTTTTCTAAATTATTCATGCTTTAAAAGCTAATACATATTTGGAAGCTTTGTGTTTTTGCATTTCACTCCATTATTCACAGTGGAAGGGAACCCTCTTTGCAAAAGGTGTTTTAGATGAAATGGACTTAGCTCAACACGGGTCATAATTTCTGAGATTTGCTATTCTTTGTCCTAAATACATTTTTTTCCAAAATTTAATACATGAAAACGAATTTGTTTCTTTTTTGGTATAGGTGTTGACACATGATATTAACCAAGAATACAAGTGTTTCGAACATTTTCTTGTAATTTGTTTATTTATGGTATATCTGATTTTCTCCCAACACCATTATTTGGATCTTTTGAGAATGGAAAACTTATGGTTTTGTTGTTGTAAATAGTTGCCGAATGTGAAATTACATAATCTGAATCATCTAGGTTATATAGTGAAGGGATGTTATTGCACAGATCTTTGTTTACACTTAGAAAAAGACAGGTCAAAATCCTCAAGCATGAAGCTGCTAAAAAAGCAACTATTCATATCTTGGAACGTTACAACTTACCTTGAGCAGCTAAAGAAGCACTTTAATTTTGTTTAAAAAACATATTTGTTGCTTTATGATTGCAATTTGTGGAACATTAGTTATTGGTCCATCCGAATTTATGCTGATATGATGAACATTAGTTATTAGAACATATCAGTTCAAAAAAAAAAAGTTATTAGAACATATGTAATTTTTGTCTTTCGGTGAAAACACTATCTATGGAACATTAGTTATTGGTCCATCCGAATTTATGCAATATTCGATGAAAAACAACTTTTTTGGGAATCAAAGAGACGCGTGAATATAAACCATATCATCATTATAACTCCCCTATGCTTGTGTTTATTCTTGAGGAGTAGGAGTAGCCATGGAAAAACAAGAAGCCATAGTTCTGTATCCAGCACCACCAATAGGTCACTTAGTGTCCATGGTTGAGTTAGGCAAACTCATTCTCTCCCAAAACTCATCTCTCTCCATCCACATCATCTTAGCTCCACCTCCTTATCAGCCCGAATCAACCGCCACTTATAT